GAATGCAAAACTAACGGAATGCATTTCTATTCTTACACTCTACTTTGCATTCTTGTTTATGAAATTTCCCCTCACTGCCTCCCTTCTTTTTCACCTGCCCAAATATGTCAATGATTCAGATTTGGATCTGCCCTACTATATTGGTGGCCTCCTCTTCTACTTGCCAAACAAGACCTCAGGGCTGGTTAGGAGTCCAGCTCTCTCCTACTCAGCAATGGTGTCCTGACTCCAGGTAAGTTCTGATGAGTAAGGTGATTAGGGTCACCGTGACTGGTTGTGGTGAACAATTAATTATAGGGAAGAAGGTCTGCCTGGAGACCTCTGGCAAGGCTTCCTCTTATGAAGCTGTTCCCTTTCTTTCACTGATTCAGGACATTGCCACATGGGTGCTTCACTTGGAACCTGTGTAGCTAACTGCAAGCAACTGGGAAACCAGCCTACAGACTAGAGTGGCTAAGAGGGAAGACGGAAAGTACCTGGGTTGAAACAGAGCATCCATCATTAGGTAACGTGATGCATTTCTTTTTTGTTTAAGCTAATTTGAGTTATGTTTTCTAACAGCCAAAGGTTTCCTAAGTGATTCAGGAGTTCCTAACCTAAGGTACACAGACTGTCAAGAGGTGTGGTTATAGAATTCAGAGGTCCATGAAAGTTACCTATTAAGTGCAATTTAGTATTTCCTTCAATGATGAATATAGGCAACAGGCTTAGCAAATTAGCAGAACCCACGGCTTACAGGAAGTCATGGATAGAAAGCAAGGACATTTTCATATTATATTTTGGTTGTTAAAAGAATCTTGAACAGTATTTTCTTTCCCTATGAATGATGGTTCATGTTCTATTACTTGCATAAATTAAATCTCCTCCTGTAAGCTCTTTAATCACCATGTGGCATCCATTTCCTTGTACCCAGTAGTACCTGTACAGCACTAGTCACCCAGTAGATGCTCAATAAATGCTTGTTGACTAGACTTTGCCTCTGAGCATGACCCTAAGGGAAGTGGCGTGAAAGGGGATGGTTGTGTCTTGTGGCATCAATTGACAGAGACTACAAACATTCTAGTTTTCCTTAATCTGATTTGCAGGCTCAAGGGCCTTATGAATTTCCCCAGAGCAAGATGTATTATAGTTGAGCAAAAGTTCAATGTTTAGGATAACAAATATAGAAATAGGAGGGTTAAGACGGGAAGAAAAAAATAAGAAATCTCCCTTTGGGGAGGTAAGGAGGAAGAGGTGTTCCTGAGAGCTAAAATCAACCTCCTCGTTTTATGTAGGGATGCAAGGTCACTCAGGCCTTGTCCAGAGTCTAGCCCTACCTGTTTTCAAATGCTCACCTCCAGCTAGAAAAATAGGGAGGACCCTAGAAGAGGAGGCTAAGGATAAAACAGGCAAAAGGGAAGCTCCCTCTGCCTGTCCTCTGTTCACTAACAATAGGAGCCTCAGTAAGGATGATGTGCACAAATGACATGTGCTGTCCCCACGTTCCTGACCACAACCCAGTGAAGGGGTTACATTCACAAGTTCCAGATGAGGACACAGACCCAGAGAGGTCTAAACACACACCCATGATGGATTGGTCAGGGTTGTCCAGAGAAGCATAGCCTATAGGATCTGTCTCTCTGTCTCTTTCCATCTCCTACTGATGGTGTGAATGTGTGTAAGCATGCTTGGGTGTGGAGAGAGAGATTTATTATGAAGAATTTGCTCACTTGATGATGGAGGCTGAGAAGTCCCACCGTCTGCCACCTACAAGCTGGAGACTCAGGAGAGCTGTTGGTACAATTCAGTCTGAGTCCAAAGGCCTGAGAACTAAGGGAGCTGATAGCATAAATCCCAGTCTTGGGGCAGGGGAAGAGGAGAATGGATTTCCCAGCTTCAGAAGTAGGGAACCTTGCTTCTGTTCTTTTTGAGGCACTTTAGTTTTGGATGTGACCCTTGAAATCTCTATTGTGATTCTATGAATAATTAGATGTCAGTGACCCTTATTCTAAGGGTTCTTTGTAAAAAAATAAAATAAAATTAATTAATTTAAAGAAGGAAGTTGTATATATTTTATAGTCTGGGTACTGAATTTATTCAGCCCATCAATAAATGTTAATGATTAAAAAAAAAAAAGGAAAGGAGGAAACAAAAGAAGCCATCTATGAGTCCTCAGACTCAAATTCCAGAAGTAATGTTTAATCTGGGCACCCCGTGACCTGGTCAAGCTAAAACACAAAATTAACCATTACACCTAACTTGTTCAGAGAATATCTCCAAAAAGAGCCATAACTCCTAGAGCCCTCCACAATGATGGTACAATCAGTAGGGTGTTGACTGAGGAAGGTTAGTATTCATAAAAAGCTAGCATCTAATGTACAGTTCAAGTTCAAATTTCCTCATTCTAATAATGACCTTCATGCACACACACATATATTTTAAATTTTCCTTTCAGCTAAGATCTAGTCAAGGACCACACATGGCATATAATTGTCACATCTCTTTAGTCAGTTTCCTAGCAGCAGCAGCAGCAGCAGCAGCATTTTGGCCTAGCATTATAATGATATTTTGTAGAACATCCTTCAATTTGGATTTGCCTAATTGTTTCCTTATGAAAACATTATGATTCAGGTTAAACAACTTGGGGCAGGAATGTGGGTAATCCACTCTTTGACTAACTGAGAAGATAACCGGTGTTGACTGCTTCTGGATCCTTCTAAGTGTGAGGAGAGCCACAGAACCCATGTTCTTGGGGGTATCCTGTTTATGAGTGAGTTTCTCGAATACATACCAGTCTGGGGGATCCTGTGATTTTTGTACAAATTAGTGAAGCTACTTGTATCAAAACAGGCCCTTACTTTTCCAGACTCTTGACTGTCCTACATCACCCAGGCAGTGCCTGAACCTAGGGCCTGAGGTTGGGCTTGAGCGGCTGCCAGAGGATTGCTGTGGGTGGAGGCAGCAGGGGGCTGACAAATGCCCTTGGTGTTGTCACAACACCCAGAGAAAATTTCTCCTTCCTGCCTGGTGGCTCCCAGCCCTGGTCCTGGAAAGGCTCACTAGGGAGAGGAACCGGGCCAGGCACCTTTATCAGGTGGGCACAGGAGAAACGCAAAGATCCTTAGTGAGAATGGGCTGCTTTTCAGATCAAGGCCATGAAATCATAGAGACAGGAGAAGTAAATCCAGCAGCAGTAGTGTATACTTTGAGGATTTTGCTGTTGTTGGTTGTATGTTTGTCTTTGCTTATCAACATTCTGGAGCTTTAAGCAAAATTACAAAGGACTTATTACTGTTTGGCGCCTTTAAGCCTCTCTCTTTCTAAACTCCCATAGTTGTCCTCCCTTAGACCCCTAGAGCTCAAAACCCATCAGAACTGTTTCGGTTTCTTTGTTCACACTGAAGTATAAAGGGCTAACTACACTTTAAATAGTTATTTCTCTCTCTTTTTTTTTTCAATAGTTTTTAAATTGTTGATAGATCTTTATATGTTTATTTATATATGGTGCTAAGAATTGAACCCAGTGCCTCACACATGCCAGGCAAGTGCCCTACTGCTGAGCCCCATCCCCAGCCCTTAAACAGTTATTTCTATAAAGATTCCTGTATTGGCATTTTTGCCAGGCTCAACCACCAATGAACGAGATGTGGCTTAAAATGGCTTTACATGTGCCAGATGGGGAAAATATATGAGTTTATGTATGGATGTTCTCTAAAATGCATTTACTTGTTCAATAAATATTTAATGAGGCCACTATAGCAATAAGGGATGTATATAAAATCAAGGGAGGAAAGAATTCACACAAATGGGGAAAATGTGGCATGGAACATTAAATGTCTTGCCTGAAATTACCAAATTTATTTCTTCCAATCAATCTATGAATAATTCAGATGTTTATTGATAATTTCATGATGTGCCTTTCACTATGCAAAGAACCATAGAAGATACTGAATTTGCAATCTCATTTTTGTAGCATGTACACATGAAGCAATCTAGCAATGAACTGAATATTTGTATGCCCCCCCCCCGAAAAAAAAATTGATGCCAGCCCCCATTGTGATGGTATTTGGACATAGGACCTTTAGGCAGTAATTAGGGTTAGATGAGATCATGAGGGTCGGCCCTCATGTTGGGAATAGTGCTCTTATAAGAAGACAATCTGCTCTTTCTCCCTGAGGGTGCACAAAGAGGTCTTCTTTTGGCTTGTCGACAGTCATCATGATGTGTGATGGTGACTGTTTACAAGCCAAAAGATGACCTTTTTGTGCACACTCAGGGATTATCTTCAAGCCAGAAGAAGAGAACACAGAATGAAACCAACCTTGGTAGCACCTGACCTTGCACTTCTAGCCTCCTGAACTGTGAGAAATAAATTTCTGTCATTCAAGCCACCTGGTTTATGATTTTTTTGCTGTAGCGGCCTAAATTGACTAAAACACTAATGAAGCAAAATAATGAGAATTGTAAATTAAACTCTGATATAAAAGTTAGGAGTTTTAGTAAAGAAATAAAAGGCCTTAATATGGGATCTTTACTGCCTCTGCTCACACATCAGATACTGGCTTGGTTTTATTTTTGGAGGAGGCTGCATAATTTTTAAATACCCCAAACTACAAAAACTGTTGTTGCAAGCCTCTGTGTTCTCATTATCCAGACTTAAAAAGTTAGCAATTTTTAACTTTTGTTTCACATATAAGTTCTGTATAAAACAAGAACAGTATCTTAGATGAAGTTAAAGTTCTTCATGTTTCATTCCACAGCCTCATCCCAAAGGCTTCTTTTGTTCAATACAGTCCTTGTGAGATTCATTGGTGTGGTGTGAGGCAGTGATTTGTCCACTTTCAGGCTGAACGATGTTTTGCTGTGTGGCTGGACTAACCGTGTTCATCCATCCTATGACTGATTGACATTTGAGTTGTTTTCCTTTTTTTAGAAGGAGAGTCCACGGAGGCATTTTATTATACGTATGTTTTACATTCCTAGAAAAAGAATCCCAGGATTTTTCTTCCCCCTGTGTGTTTTCATCTTGCTTCTTTGTGATCCATGATGCAAGATGAGGTTGTCAATACAATGAAACCAAACTGATGGGATGGGAGCAGATTTTTCTGCCATTTTTCTAGGTCTTTGAGCTGCACATCAAATCTGGGGCTTATCACTTCACACTTATTTAACCAGCCTGTGATGTTGACAACAATTTTCCCAGCTCTGTGATCATCAGTGATTTCAAATTCGCCAATGTAACCATGCTTCATCAGCACAGTTAGAAACAGGACAATGACTTTGGAGAACAACCTAATAAGGACCTGGTGTTTGCTTCTCTTTTCAGCATTGTTGATGCTCTTGAGACCATCAGCCAGGACATTCATGCACACCATTATGGTGGCACAAAAAGATGGCGGAAAGAGCTGTTTTCCTTTTTTAACTATTACAAATAATCCAGCTAAGAATCCTTGTACATGTCTGTGGGTGACCAAATGGGCCATTTCTCTCAGGTAGGTAGCTTGGAATAAAACTATGGTATCACAGTGCATATATATGTTCAGCTGTAGTCAATAGTACCAGTTTTCTAGAGTAATGGTACCAGCCAGGCATGGTGGCACATACCTGTAATCCCAGTGAATTGGGAAGCTGAGGCAGGAGGATTGCAAGTTCAAGGCTGGCTTGAACAGTTTAGCAAGACCCTGTCTCAAAATAAAAAGTGGAAAAGACTGTGGACATAGCTCAGTGGTAGAGCATCCCTTCAATCTCCAGTGCCCCTATAAATAAATAAATTACATTAAATTAAATAAAGTTGTTGTATCAGTGGCTCCATATCTTTGCTAATACTCAGCAAACACCTTTTTAAAACTTTATCCTTTTGCTGGATATATAGAAATATCTCACTATGGTTTTAATTTCACTCTCTGATGTCTAAAGTGGCTCAGCCCCATTCATACATTATTAGCCATTCAACAGGGAGCTGACAATTGCCTGACCTTCCCCCATTTTTCTCTTATGTGATTTTTCTACTCGTTGATCTGTGGGACTTTATGTGGCTTAAATATAGAATATTTGTTTAAAATGTCACAACTTATCCCTTTCTGTGGTTTGTTCACTTAATGGTGTCTTGTTATAAACAGATTCCTAATTTTAGGTGGTTATCCAATTTATCCATCTTTTACAGTTAGTTCTTTACAATTCCCGATTAAGAAATCCTTGCCCATCCCAAGGATAGAAAATTATCCTTTTGTAGTTATCTAGAATCTTTATTGTTTTTTTTTTTCCCTTTCAGAATTAGATCCACCATCCACCTGCAACTGATTTTTGCATATGAAGTGAGACAGAGGACAAGTTTTGCTTATTCCCCATATAAACATCTCATTGACCTAACATCATTTATTGACACAACCTCTCTTTTTCTACCACTCTTCAGTGCCACCTATATTATAAACAAGTGTCCATTCCAGCATGTGTCTGTTTCCAGACTCTTCCTTCTGTTCTTTTGACCTGCTTGTCCTTGGGTCTTAACTGCACTACTGATTCATCCCCAAAAGTCTTGGGAAGCTGGGGTTTCTGCACATCAATTCCTAGTACTCACTAATTAAAGTTTGCTTCTGGGGACATTGACTCTCTAGGACTTCTACTCTTCTCCATCTGTGTACAAGCCAAGAACAGTTCTATGACAGGAAATGTCTTCAGGGCCTCCTTCTCCACTCACAAGTTTCTTGTGGGCAAAGGACTGATTGGTTATTGGCCAGATTCCTAAGGGATACAGTTCTTTGCCACTTAGGATTACTCAACATGGCCACTTGCAGTCAGCAAGAGAAAGGAAGGCCCTAGCAACAGCCACTCCATTTTATGGAACACATGTGCACAGAGTCACACTAACCTAGCTTTGTTGACTTCATTCCACTCATATCACAGGTCCCACACTACTGAAAGTGGAGGGCATCACACAGGAGTGAGGATAACAGGAGGCGGAAATCATAGAGGCTACCTTAAGCCTGCAATCTGCTACAGCAGGCCTGGGAACTAATCACCAAGTCATAGGTGATTAGTTTGATGCTGGCAAGACAACACCAGGGTCTGCCATGTGTGTCTGTCTCAAACCTCTCTTAAATTTCAGACTTGTATATCAACAGCCTGCCACATCTTCTCCCAGACAGCTAACAGGCATCTTGTTCTTAGTGTGTCCCACGCTGAACTTCATTCTACTCTAACGAACAGAAAACATCCCTCATTCTTCCTGTTGCAAAAACCCTAGCTCTGTCTTTGGTGCCTCTCTTTTTCTCATAACTGTTGGTTTTGTCCCCTTGATTTATCTAGAAACTGACCACTTTTTACCACCTCTCCTACCACCCCAACCTGCTCTGAGCCACTGTCATCCTTGGCCTTTTTATTTGTTCTGTATCCCCTGTAGCCTGCCACCAGAGGGATTCTGCTTCCATATCAGTCCACGGCAGTTCTCAGCTCAAATAGCCTCCAGTGGTTTTTCCCAAGTTTCTCAGAGTTCAAGCCAAAGACCTTCCATGCTTGTATCCGGCCCCAGCCTCTCCCCCACCCCGCCTCCCCCATTCCCCCACCCCAGTTCCATGTACCTTTCTGCTTTGCTGCAGCATCAGAGGCAGCCTTGCTGTCCCCTGACCAAGCTAAGCACATTCCCATCTCAGGGGCTTTGCATTGGCTGTTCCCTCCAGAAAACACTCCCCGCCCTGAGAAACACACTGCTCGTACTTCCAGCTCCTTCTGATCTCAGCACAAATGTCCTTTTTATTAGTGAGGCCTTTTCTTCTCCAATATAAAACAGCAGTCTCCCTCCTTTCTCCACTTCATTTCCTTCTGTAAAATAATATGACAGATCACGGATGCATGTAAGAACATACTCCTTCTCTTCCCCCACTGGAGTGTGGTAGGTTCCATGAGGTTGGGGACATGGTCTTTGACACCTGTATTTATTCACTACTGTATCTAGTCACAACCCAGAACAATGCTTCACATGTAGCTAATTCTCTATAAAAAACTGTTAAAGGAATGACTGCTACACCCCGAAAGAGACCTTAGAGGTCCTCTAGTCCAGTCTCAATTCAGAGAAGGGACCAGCTATTCCGAGTTGAGGGAGCACTTGAGCTGGGACAAGAGCCTAGGTCTCTTTTTCTCTCTGACTCATTGCTTTTCTTATTCCACTAATTCCTCTATATAGAGGAAAGTTCAACACCAGCAACTGATCACATTTAGTAAAGTAATAGGAAATTGTGCTGAAGGTGTTCCTGAAGATGTTGCCAAGTGAAACTATTCTGGTTTTTTTTTTTAATTTATTAGTTTATCACCAAGCAAATGTCAACAGTGAGTAAAAGGGAACAAAGCTGGAGTTGTTATAACTGATGAAGGAGAAGATTATTGATCTGGTGAGTCATCGTCCTGTCCCAGGGAACAAAGGTCTGAGCTGTCTTCACAGGTAAATGATTCTGGGGAAACAGCAACAACGACAACAATAACTCAGTTTTCTAGGAAAATAAAAAGTATTAAGTGATGCACAGTAAGAATTTAACAACAATAGCTAGTAATAAAATGAGACAATTATTAAGGGAAAGAGAGAACTCCGTTTGTTCCTTGGATGAACAGGTGAGGAATGGCTCTTAACTCTTTCAATGGCATTTTCCACAATGTTCTTTACTGAGCAGTGGCTCCATGAACTACTTTTAAATAACCAGTGTCTGGCCTGTAAATCCCAGGAAGGGAGTCTCTCCTCTGTGCGTGGCTTGGGCTTTTTTTGTAGAGAGGGTGTATGTGGAGAAAGATGCCCTTTCCCCAATCTTTCTCCTATTCCTTCCCTTATCTCTTCTCTGACTCTCCTTTTTAACAAACTCTGCTTTCCCAAAATAATTTAATTAAGCTAAAACAACTTCCTAGGTTCCTAGGTTGTTTCTCTCCTCACCTTGTTTTCAACTGCCTTTCTTACTCTGTACTCTGTTCAAACATATTTTCTGCAATAGACATTGAGATGGAATGCAAACTGAAAATAATAATGTAATTTTATTGGCATCTTTCTATAATTTCTTCTGCAATATGTAGGTAGGAGTGGTGGACAGGTTTAACATGTCAAAAATAATTAATTTGGCTTTTAGTTGACAAATAAAAATTATATTTTTCATGTACAATATTTTGAAATATGCCTACATTGTAGAATTGCTAGATTAAGCTACTTAACATATTCGTTACCATATATACTCGCCATTTTTTGTGGTGAGAGCACTTAAAATTTATTCTTAGAGATTTTCGAGAATATAATATACATTGCCCCTGATTATAATCACTATATTTCAAATCATCATGTTTCAAATTTGTAGGCAGAAGATGCCAGAAAGTTCTCTGTGAGTTTAAAATGTAGACACTATGATATGTATGATATATATGTAATATATTTCATATGTACATACATAAATGTACATTTGCTCTAATAATCACTCCAGGGGGCGTGGATAGCCTTTGAAGGAACCAAATTAGGAAAGCACCATCTAGACATGATTATGGAAACATTATAACAATTGTTATAACGTCTATATGGGAGGGTGTATCAATTAGCATAAGTGATGTAAAGAAGGTTTTCCTTTAATTGGTAAAGAATGGTCCAGTTATGAGGTTAGATAGAAGACTGCACTAGGTCCCACCATCCTGGTATGGGAGAGCACACCTTTGCATTGAGTCCAGGAACCTCACACTTTGGGCAGTTCTCCAGGGCCAGAATCTATCTGTACGAGGGCTTTGCACTCTGATCCTACCAGAAGCCCATCTGAGCCACTGTCAGAATATTGTAATGTCTGCTTCCTTCTCATGCAAGGTGCTTATTAGTATGTGAGTGTGGGGACTTGACCGAGATGAAAGGAAAGTTTCCATGATGATTTCCATGCCTGTTTTTTAATAAAGTTTTGCAGGCTTGGCAGAAACTGACCTAAGACTAGTTTTCATCTAATAATGAACCACCTGGGGCCAAGGAGTTGGTAGAATGGAATGTAGAGTCTCTACCCTCCTCTAATGTCAGTTATTTGGCACAAGAACCTGATAATTACTGAACAATCAAATTGACTTAGGTCAATTCTCATCCCATATACTTGACCATATTTTATTTTTATTGCTCTTGGTGAAGAGGAAAAACAAATAGGTCCTAGTTGTTAGTGAAGGGTAGCAGATGTAAGATGGTCTCAAACTGGTCTTTTCATTGATTTAAGTTTTCTGACATTCTGGACTTCTTGATGCCTTTCAGATATAAAATGGTAGAACTTAGGTTTCCTAAGGTGATAACAGCTGTTTTGTTTTTTTTTTTTAAGAAATCTCTTAATAGTTAATGAAAGAAAGGACGGGGGAGTCTAGGCCAGAGAATCAAAATATCGTGTCTGCC